AAATTGGGCATAGCATGTTGCCTGTCTGTACTGTACACTTAGGCCGCGTTGCTTCATCTACAGTTAAATTTGACTATAGTTATAATAATAGAGAAAAATAACCGTTTGTCATAATTTGACACATTTACATTTGCTATGTATTTGACATGAAACAACGGCCTTCGTGAAGAATAAACTTTATATGGAGAATAATTTCAGAAAGCTAATAATTAATTATCTCTGTGACTTCTTGACAAAGAACCTAATGATTTTAGAATTTAAACTACCTATTTGTCAGTGAAAAATGAATATCTTTTTAACAGACGAACTAAATAATCGGTTTAAGGCTCATAGGCGACTAGTAGGTAAAACAAACGCATATTTTTTAATATTTTTTTATATATATAGAGGTAGGCAATAAAGTCCAAACGCGAAGATAGCTGGTACAGCAGTTATAAACTACTACACCAATCATCGTCACCTTGCCGGCCTGCAAAAATGCTTCTTCACTCCTCCTTCCTCCTCCTTCCTATAATGTGGGGTCCTTTAGACCCCACATTATAGGAAGGAGGGAACACTTGCGCGGGTAAAGAATTCCACTTACGAATAGTACGACAAAGAAATGAGTCACCAAATTTCTTTGTTCGTGTAGGAATAGTGGCCACAGTAAGTCGAATAATATAATGACCAATACAAAAAGTAATTTAGCCGCAAATACCTTTTCTACTGACTCGTTCAAAAACTCTCGTTAAAAGAGCACTATGTCTGTGTTAACACGATCGGTTGATCGTTTTGGAATCGAACATTTGTCATCGGCGGTGTTAACGCGCGCTTGTTATTCAGCGCGGGTCCGGTGAGGCGCGGGCTACATAACGACGGTAACGAGCCGACAGATTTGAGCCGGATTTAACCATACGTTAATGGGTATTGGGAAACCCTGCCTTCTGCGGACCTATACTGCTGTGGGCCTAAATATTGCTTATTATTGAAATAAAGTCCCATTTTGGATTTCATTCAAATCTGGAACTTACTAACTTCAAACAATATGAGAGTATAACTGCTGTAGTTTATCCTATTTTATAAGTTTTTAGCTTTTATAATGACGTGTACTTGTTTTCCCACATTTTCATTTAGATGGAGCCTGTTCCTTGATTGTTGTGTTACACTTTTTGAGAAAATTAAACCCAAGTTCCAAAGTAGCAAGTTACCAGATTTATTTGTTGTTCTGTGTATTTATTTTCTATATAAACGGTTTATTGAATCAGAATTTTTACAATACGTCGAGAATCATGTTCGAAATTAGGCTCGTAAAAAAATGAATCACATAAGAGCGGTTTGTTTTTAAGTTATAAGTAAATGCTTTAGTTTTTACTTACCATACACACCTTTACTGATGTTTTATTTAAATTAAAAGGTACCATTAGGTTATTTAATAATATTCATACATTTTTGAAGTGAAAACTTCTTTAGCGGCGTTGTCACTTTCTTTTGTATGGGTAAAAAATGTTAAACTCGCGTCAGGTTAAACACGTGGGCTGATCGCATCATGACACACAATAAAATTGGAAAGGTTGACTTTCAATATATTGGACGAAGTATAGTAATATTTTATTTTATCGTATTATAATAATAAGTCTCTATCTAGGACGTCAACGTGGCAGCTTTATTACGAAGAAAATGTATTTTTTTACAATAGATGAAAAATCGACTTACATGAATCACATTTAAGCGCACCTGCTTAATTGTGATTCATGTAAGTTGATTTTTCTGAAAGATAAACTCTTTTAATGTAATATAAATTGTCATGTTGTGTACGATAGCGCAATAAATAAATATTGTATTCTACCACATACATGATAGTACTTTTATATTGATATAATTAAAGCAATTCGTGCAAAATTATTCCCTAACCATTCCAAAATATCAAAAATGCACAACGTTAATATTCAAGTTTTCACTTCTGCCGGCCGGCACTCCCGGAGTGCAACCCGTCGTTTTTTTTATTCTAAAACGTAAATGTGTTTCCTAGAGCTGTAAATTTACATCTTTGTTATACTTCAATGGTTTAGATTAGAAAGAAACCGGTGAAGTGCGAGTAGAACTCGCGCCGAGGGTTCCGTACAAACCTGTAGGTATATAATAATTATTACAAAAATATGATCTAACTAAAAATTTACGGTTTTCGCAATCTTTCCTATAAGACGTTGCTTCGTACCAAATTTCAAGATTCTGAGTTCACGGAAAGTAGGTACCCTGTAGGTTTTGATTCCTTTGCGAGTTTCAAAAATTTGCGCAAATTTGCGGCATAAGCGGCATAAGCGGCTGTATCTTTTGATAACGTTGGCATAGAAGTAAGATTTTTTCACAGCTCCAAGGACAGTAGACCTGAGCATATAATACAAATTTCAGCTTGATACCTCCACGCGTTCCTGAGAAAAAGGGTCTTGACAGACGGACCGACGGACAACAACGTGATCCTATAAGGTTTCCGTTTTTTCCTTTTGAGGTACGGAACCCTAGAAATAAATCAATTCTAATTCAATAACAGTGCTTAAATGTCACCTACTGATAAAAGGCTATCCATCTAACGTGAGCTGTGATGGCCGACATCACGATAGAGGCCCGTGGGAATATCTTTGAGGAACAATAAAGTATTAACAAGTTAACAACAAGAACTTGCAGAGATTTGTTTACATGATACTATTGTGGCAGCACAGGTATCGCTTTAGGGCTGAATCGCCTTGATATTTCGCTTAGATTTTTCAAGGCCGCGCCATCATTAGAACGGCATAATGCACCATCATAAAATATGAAAGATAATATTCGTACGTCGAAAACATCATAAATAAGCATTGTAAATAATGATTTGCAAACGATTTATTGATTATACTTACACGCCGTTTAGAGATTTACTATTCGATGATAGGTAGGTATCTCATTTGGAATATTTTAATGGTAGATGTCTTGTACTTGTGATGGATGTAGAAAGATGAAGTTTTTGAGACTTAGAATCAAAAGTTTATCATAGTATGATAATGTATGTTGATAGAGTTAATTAAAGCTTATCTATTAAGAGTGTGATTATAGCTCTTTCCATAAATTAGGGATTTAGTCCCTAGAGAAGGCTTATGTCCTGCGGACATAAGCCTTCTCTAGGGACTAAATCCCCAGGCGCAATCTAAGGTCAAATTCAAAAATCCCAAAAATTTGCCCTAAAAGCGATAAATTTATAGTTTGCTGATATCTAGTGGTGTTTTTATGAACTACGTATACTATGGCCAAAATAAATTGGAAATGACATCTAGTACTAGTTTAGAAAAAGGAACCGAACTATGTAGTTTTGGTAATTCAAGCAAAATCGACATGCGTCGTTCATCGCAATAATGTTTATTTTATTCCAGATACCTTTTTCTTTTCTTTTTATTAGTGTAGTTAGTGACCCCCTCCAAAATTTCAGGCTGTGACAGGGCCTGTATGCCCCAGCAGTGGGGTCACATATAGACTGCTGATGATAGGTTTTAGTAACTTTAGGATTTGAATAAATTCATGTTGTGAAATAAGTACTGAATAACTGAATAAGTTCAAAATTTAAGCTCTGAATAAAAAAATTCAGAGCTTAAATTTTGCCAATATGTTTGCTGCTCTTGTATCAACAAGTGAAAGTATTAATGTTCAAATTGTGAATTGGTTATTTATATGTAGGTAAATCATGCTTATTTCAATATGGACAAAAAGAGGCTATCGATTCAATTCGAATAAAGAGACAAAAAATGTTTAATTTTTCTATTAACATGTATTAGATAAACCCATTATATTTGAATTTGAGGCTAATATTAGAATTTATGCAGTTATAATATGTAGTCTAATTATTATGCACGGTTGGTAAAAAATGTATCGCTCCTTTGGTGCAACAAAGTAGGTATAAATTACCTAAAACTTCAAAAAAGAGTTAAGCACGCCATATTGTTCATACAGCATGCGTCCATTTGAGGGGATATTGAGACAGCCGAAAAAGTATAGCAAAGGACATGGCAAAATTTTGTATGAGCGACTGCCCTAGCAATGTATAAATATTGTACTTAGTAATATATAATGCAGAATGGCTGAAATTAATAATTTCTATGAAAAAGGGCTCAGGAACTTTTGATAAAGTCACAATCTTGAAAATTATGAGATCTCCTACGACGGCATTACCTTGCTACATTTGATAAAAGATGTTGCCAATTATTTACAGAGCCATCAATTTCGCATTTTCTTAGAATATTTCTTTATATTTATCTGATTAACACTTCACAAAAATCATTTTTAAAAGTAAAAATAAATACAAATAATTTGTTGTTGTCGGCCTGACATGAAATCTATGAAGTTTTATGTTGTTCATTTGCAAAAATCAAAGCATTAATTATCATACAGCCTTCTTTCAAGCCTGATCAGAAAAATAAAATCTAATATTTTAGGCCTTCAGTGATTTGTTATAATAAAAATAAGGGCCAAATATGTCATAGTTTATGGGAGTTTTGCATTTTCCGTGACTTGTGAGCCAACAAATCTAATAAGTCAGCCCGCACGTGCCTTGGAGCAACAGCCATCCAAAGGTATTTATGCCTAATTTAATTAACATTTTTTGGTGCAACTAATACTCGTACTTTCACGAGTCATTTACATTATTAATTCCTGTGTGCAAGAAAGGCACAATTTATGACACTTTTTTATTTTTTATAAATAGGTCCGATAAATGGCTCCACCCCACCTGATGTTAAGTGATGGTGAAGTCCAGACGTGAAGATGGTACAGCAGTTCTACGTGCCACACCAGCCATCCTCACCTTGCCGGCCTGCATGTTGCTTCTTCACGCCTCTTAAAGGATCCCAGGTTGTAAGAAGGAGGGAACACGTGAGCAGGCAGAGCATTCCATTTACGGATAGTGCGACAAGCAAATGAGTTACCAAATTTCTTTGTACGCGTTGGAATTGTGGCCACAGTTTTTACGAAAGATTTGATAAAAGGTGTGGAAAACTTACCGGTCTACAGCGTGTCTGTTCTGCGCCAGTCTTTGCATCAGCCACACCTGCGACAGCACTGCGGGAGGCACCAGCCCAGTGCCCAGAGTAGCTAGCGCCGCCACCATCTGCTGGAACTGCAAACAATAGTCCTAATTTAATTATGTAACTAATTCTTCACCACACAGTCACATACTTTTATAAAAAAAACCTGAAGTGTTTCGTTTATACTAGATTGTGAAAAGCCTGGTATTTGAACTAGGCCGGTAGTATATCAATTACAGACACCACTTAGGACTTTCCGCTCAAATTAGAGCGTTCGTCTGGAGAAGTACCAACTAGCTCCTCAAGCCATACATACATAATATACTTCACCTTATAGTTAGGAAGCTGTTGGCAGTAATTTTTAAATGATTTCATCGTCTGACAGAGGTTGATAATATAATGTAAAATAATCATTTATTAAAAAATAATTATCTAATTGTTGAAATATCAAATAGGAGCTTGCGAAAAATGTAAATAGAAATAAGTTTCATAAACGATATTATCGTTTCTGTCGACAGTCTAAATTATTGTATTTAATATTAAAAAAAAATACTAGTTGCAGAAGTTTTTCCTATTTTTAAGTCAACTATTTCTATTAGTTATGAAAAGCATAAAAATGGGAAAGGCAGAAAACGTCGATACTATCTTTTCGAAGGCAGAAGAATTTTACTACCCGAGGATAGCTTGTATATATTGCGTGTATATTATATTTGTTCACATGGAAAAAATCCTAGAAAGGACAGATGGTTTAAAACCGGGATTGAGAGTTAAGGAGAGAAAGAGAGATATATAAGCGCTCCAAAAAATCAAATAAAATATCAGAGCTGTGATTTCTGCCATCTTTTTCTTCTATTCACAAATACTTTATAAAACATAAAAATATTTTTCGAAAAGTCGATGGAATAATACAGTTGAATAGTACCAATTTTTTTACAGTTTAATATTTTTTTATAGAAATTCCCACCATCCTAACTTCTGTCCGCTTTAATTTCACTATCTATTTTTTCTTCATTTTATAAAATGTATTTAATAGATATTGATGGCCTTTTTGTAATTTTTTTTCTTTACAAATTCGATTTTTTTTAGAATATAAAGCATAGCTACCTAGCTTGCCACTTATTTTTTCCAGTTAACATAGGTGCAGACTACATAACGTCTTGGCATCAACGACGACGAAATAATTTACCTAAATTGCCACCAGCTTCCTAGCTATTACATAAGCAAGCACTAATATCACGCAATACATTTTGTTGTACATACAATACAACATATTATCTCTGTGAGTAAGATTCCAGGGCTCCTCGGGATAGGGAGAAGTACAAATAAGTAAGTAAATCTTAGTACAAATTCATAGAAGTTCGTACAAATGCACACGTTGGCGACATATTGTTTTGTATTCCGGTAGTCGCTTAGAGACCATAGTCGTCAGGTATCGACTATTTGCGTAGCGTCGTGTAAGAAAGGCCTTAGTCTGCGTGGTTTACTTGGTTTCCCATACAAACTTCAGCCCCCGTTTTCACCTCTTTAGAAGATGACTTCTGGCATAAAAACTAGGATAGTTTGTCCATTCCTGGGGCTCAAATTATATCTATACCAAATTTAATTTAAATTGGTTCAGCGTTTAAGCGTAAAGAGGCAATAGACAGACACACTTTCACTTTTATGATATTAGTATGAGCATGACAGTGGGTAGTTTGGGTACCTGCGCCACGGCTTGCGGACTCTGCGCCTGCAGTTGCAGCTGCAGCAGGTGTTGCAGCAGCGGTGGTGCGGCGGCAGGGCTCTTCGCGCCCGACACCGAGCTGCTATCCGATTCCGATGCAGGACTCTGTGACAAAAAAAGAGGTATGTTATTTACTTAACCACACCTGATATTATGTGCCAGTGTTATCTTTTGTTTATCATTATCATCATAAGCGTAATTACGTATTCACTGCTGGTGCATAGGCCTACCCTATAGATGGATAAGGGTGAGAAGCCCATGACCCACAAACGCAGCTGTAACCAACGGCTTAACGTGCCATCTGAGATAATAGTAAATGTTTAGTCGCTCATCCTATGACCGGTCATTGGGAAAGTTGCTCATTTTTACGATCGCATATCAATCACAAGCGAAATCCACTGGATCTTTTCTTTATGCACATAACTCTCGCTAATGCCATAAGATCAGGTTGTATCCAATGGTTATGTAAGTTAGTATTGTTTTAGTTTAATTCAGTTCCGAAGATGACAATTGTGACCATATAGCTCCAATCATCGTCACTTAACCTTTGTCCCCTGCGACTTAGAGAGCTAGTAATTTTGTTCACTGCAAAATAGCTTATTTTGGCAGTAATCTTTTGTATTTCACCAAACGGAAAGTCGAATTCACCCTGCCTAATAAAGTACTTAAGAAAAAAATAGGTGCAAATCAAGACTTGTGCTTGCAAAGCTTAGAAGAAAGCTTTTCTTTAGATTTTTTTGGGCCAGTCCCGAAATTCCTGATAAAATTTAAGGTAATTATCTGCCATAGAGTTATTACGCTATAGAAAATTGTAATACTTACATATTACTACACAAAAAATTATGACGAAAATGTCCTACACAATTTGTCTAAGCATGGTTAAAATATTTGCATTTTTTGTGATACAACCATTTTAAACTTTCTTTTATTAAACTTCGAATAAGCTACCAGCAAGAGTTTCATAAGCAAGCCGAGTCACCACTCGGAAACCTTATTGAGATCTTTTGTTACACATAACAAGGTCTCAAAAGATTAGGTGGTTGCTTACTGCGTGCTGAGATTGCTTGCTTACATTTTCACACAGAATTAAATTAAATAATATAAAATATACAAAATATTTATAGCATGATTCCGATGCTAAATTTAAGTATCAAACGTAATTTATCGTGAGTTACATACACTATTGTTGTTTCTGTAAAACAATATTGTATACGTTGCGTTCACAAAATACTGGGGCTAGGAATTTTTCGTTATTTTTAAATGAACCTTTATTATTTTAGCTTCCGAACTTGATTTTTGTAGTTAGAATTAAATAGCGCGCTGGAAACTTCAACATGTTTAAACATTAAGCAACATGAAACTTTCGGATGTGGTCACTAACTGTGTGCTAAGTTCACTACTTAGATTTTTCTTAGTGGACTACAGTTTTGGAGAGGTCAGGTAAAAATAGCTGAGCTCCCACTTGAATTGGACCTCTGTCGTTTAAGGAAAACAGTAGCAAATAACACTAGCTTTTGGTGGTGTTGTGTTTCTGTCGATGAGTAAGGTTTCCAAAACTCCACGTCCACGGGGTAGTAGATGCTGGAGTTACGAAGGCGACACGATTTTTCTTTACAAAATTTTAAATGGTAGAACAAATTGCGCTGAGTTATTATCTTTCATCAAGCTAAATATCCCGTACAATTATCCATGTGGCGTTATTGAAAAAATATTCTTTATCCCTCGCCATCGAACAAATTTGGGTTTGCATGAACCTCTTGCTAGAATTTGCTCAACATATAATAAGATTGGCGCCAAAGATCCGAGCATAGATATATTTAGTGATGGTCTTATTTCCTTTAGGGGTAAGATGCTGAAACACTTTGGTGCAACAAATAAATAAATTAATAACGTAATAATCTTCGTTTGTGTATGTATTTAAATTAATTAAAGCAGTCAATCACTCTATCCATAATATAATATAATATATATAGATTTGTGATATGGTCAATTGGTAAAATTGTAACAACTTGTTTATTAACTCATTGTTATTATTGTGTATGCTTATAATTGGTCTGCATATAAGAAAATTGTATAGTATCCTATTCATACAATAATGTATAATATGTGTGACTGATAATTAGACACGAGAGTGGTTTTTGAAGTTATACTTCTTTAGGCGCGTTATGAAAAAATGATGAGAGTGAAATTTTAAGATGCGCGCGCATCACTGTAACTCAAAATTTTAACAGCATGAAGTTGGTCGCTTTAGCGACCAACTTCATGCGTTACTTTTGTGTTTACCGCACATTAAGAAAATCTACCAACAAAATAGAAATAGAATCTCAATTTAGTGGGTGCTAACGACTGCATTGTGAAGGTATTTATTAATCTGGAACAACGGAACCAAAGCGCGATTCAGGAGACTACAGCGCCATCTCTTGACCATTGGTGTAGTAGAACCAAAAACCACATCTTTATTTTTTGTAATAAAGTAACAGTTATAGGTATTCATATTTATAATATTTATCCACATGTTTCTAGTTTGTATATTCGGAATACGTGTTTGAGTTTCATACAAGTGCAAATCACATATGTTCTAATAAATTATATTCAGTAGCGATTTTAATTGAATATTTTGATTATTTATTTATTTCTTCAAATTAAAACTGAACTTTATTGACTGTGTCCTTTTCCAGACTTTTTTTTTAATTTATTGTAATTAATTATTTGCATGCAATTAAAAACTAATTTTAAACGATCCCAAAGAAGGATAACTTCTCACGCGCCTACATAAGTACACGCACCCATTTTTTATATTAAAAGGGTGGCAAATAAGCATATGACCCTGGCGGTAAGCTGCTACAATAGAGTATAGACGCTTGCAATACAAACAAGATAAAAAATCAAAATTAAAAACTGAAAAGAAAAAAACAAGTCCAGTAGTCTATAATTCTGTTAATAAGGAACAAAGCTACTTTAACAGTCGGGATCCATTATTGAAAAATATTATGTATTCTTGAATATCTAATGGGTCCCGACTGTTAAAGTAGCTTTGTTCCTTGTTAACAGAATTATAGAGTACTGGGCTTGTTTTTTTCTTTTCAGTTTTTAATTGAAGTATAATTAAGCAGTCGGGTTTTTTAATTTTTAAAATTTACTTTTTTTTATTTCACACTTTTTAGTTAGTTAGTATTTTAAGACGGTGTATACCGTAGTCTTGTTACTTCAGTAAGGGAATTAATATTGCGGGAATTATTAAGTACCTTGCGGTGATCTAAAAGATTGATTCATTAAGACTTAAAGAGACTTTACCAGCGGGGTCAAGGCTACAGATGGGCCTCAATTTTTGCAAAAATGTGTGAAGTTAAATCAAGTTGTTACAAAAATATCTAATGTATGTAAATTTTATAGTAAACTAGCACTTATTCAAAAACTCATCTTTTGTTGATGTTCTTTTTAGTAGTTTAGCAGTAAATATAAAATTCATTTACTTTTATTCGTCGACTATTTAAAATTGGCAGTGGCTGCATTGTCATGTCAACGTCCGGCTCTAAGATTGTGATATACACAAATGCAGTGTAATTTGCTATACCTATATAATTCACAGAAACCCAATATGTAGATGCCAGAAGTTAACTTGAAATGTTGTTAATCACCCTATATACAATACCAATCAATGACGTTTATGTCGCAGGTTGAAGAAAGCAGTAATTCCCGTCTGTTGTTTTGGACAATGGTGGCAACTGCCTTAGATCGCTAAATTTAATAATTTTGTAATCACCAAAGCAAAGTTTATAATAATTGATTAAACTAAAGGTGCATAATAAAATTTTCATAACGTTAGGAAGAGCACCATAGCAATCTCAATTATTATCAATTTATAGTTTTCTTTGTAGTTTTCTTTGTAGTTTTCTTTTAAAGCGTTCACAATATAACAGGTCAAAGACTTTGTGATCGACCCTTTTTTATTGGTAGTGTAAAGCTCGAATGAAGAGTAGAAAAAAATACCGAATAACGTATCACTGTTAAGCACAGATGCTAAGTAACTTTTACAAAACAATATAATCAAATAAACATATTACTTACTTGATTTTTATATCTTTTTCATCAATTAAATACTATTATCCTAACTATCGATACCAATATTATAAAGAGGCAAGATTTGTATATTTGTAATAAATAAACTGTCAAACTACTGAACCGGTTTCAAATATTAATTCATCATAATGTAGCTATATTATTTATTATTACATTTTTCTTTATTTAAATACATTTTGTCCGAGTGACATAGGCTATATTTTATCCCGATAAAATAAATAGTACAATGCCCGGGTGGATCACTAGTAAGTATAATATAATATTATACATGCGAAAGTGAGTTTGTTTGTTGCGTTTTTGTGCCCTAATAGCTAAATCGATTATAATGAATTCCTCTATAGAAGTAGATGGGAACTTGGTTCTTAGCTACAACATCGCAATACTTATAGGCGTAGGGTGATGAAAGGGGTGATTTACTTATAAAAAATTATATTATTTACTTTGAATTTTGCAGAATTATCGTTTATAATTACAAAACCAATATTATCGCGAGCTGATTAATAAATACAGGGATTCCAATAAGTATGTACCTACTAGCGAAAATGGGTTTTTTGTCATTATATTTAACCCTTTTTTGTAACATTAAGTAATATCGTTGAAAAAAAAAACAGTATAATTCTGAGTTTTTCATTAAAATTCAATAATCATAAATACCTATTATGATAATTTATTTTTCATCTAAATGATGAACGAAATGAAATAAGAAGGAACTGTATCACAGTTATATTGTAAGTACTTCGTATAGGATCAGATACTGCGAGTAGCCCATTTTTTTCTTTTTCGCCTAGGTTTTATCCACGTTTATAAACACCTAAATTAAATTCTATCTCTTAGTATTCCATCAGTCTACTCCTACATAGTACACCGCACTATCACTTTGTTATCGTTGTAACTTTTTAAATATATGTCGAAATGACATAGTGTAAAAGGCAAAGTTTATCGTCTTTAAATATCAACAGCGATAAAAGTATTTGTTTTTGTAAAAAATAATTTATTAATACAAAATGTGTATTTTAGAAATAGAT